TGAGATGCCAGGCCTTAGCTCTATAATTTAATAACCCTGCACAACTGTACAAACCACATTTTACACTAGGAAGTGAAACTCAAGAAGGATGTCCAAGATTTATGTAAATTTTCTCTATTCATTTTGCTCATTTCACGCTTTCAATGACCTCTTCCAGCAGCCAGGTCACATGATCATTATCATCGCCCTCCATTGGCTATTATACTCAACTAAAAGAATCCCATTTTTAAAGTACCAGTACCTCCACTGTCTTCTAAATGGCATGAGATAAACTGGCCTGGTTATTAAAACTTTTGGCAACACGCTCAACAAAACTTGCCGCATGATCCAGTACGGCACCCAATGAGGCCCAACGCATTTTCAAAGCTATGCAACTGCAAACGCATGTGACACTAGAGGCAAGCAGACCTTTTCCAATTTCCTGGGGTCTTTTAAACAGAAATAAGTTTAAAAGGTTTTGACCCTGTCACTGAGCATGCTCAGAGGAGCTTCTGTTATTCTGTTATTGCCATGGTAACTGTCCTCAAAGTGGGTGCCTGCATGTGGCTTTCTGCCTTTCACCAGTATATCAGGAAGCCAGACAAGAAAATTAAGACTTTTCAGATGCACCTTCCATTGCATCTTAAAGCAAATGGATACAGGAGGAACCAGCGCTTCTGCAGGGCCTGGAGGGCCGGCACAGCTCCTATCGCCCTTGTTACTGTCAGCTGTAACGCGACGATGATTTAATTAAAGTTTCACACTCACAGTACTGGCTCTAAGCATTGACAATTAGCCCAGTCTCGTTAACTTTAGCGAGTCACGTCTGTGGATTTCCACCTCATTACACTGACAGAACACCGGCCGGTTTGCTGGGCCCCTTCTGCTCTTGTATAAGAAGCCATCGTCAGGAGAGAAACCTCGTTTGTGGAGAACAACGGCACCAAGAGCAGCAGGATGCAGTGTAAAGGCCCGGGATCGGAACCCGACTTGCGACCCTTTCTGTGACTTCTCAATGGTTCTAATACATTCTTGTAACATTAACGTAAAAGAGCAAGATATTAATTTCATGGTCTGGCCATCTACAGTCATGGTGACAAGGATCTTCCAGATGGTATCGCACCCTCGGCCCATCGATGTTGAGGAAACATCTTCCCCATGGTCATCCAGACTCTGGTCCCCTTTCTGCCTCCCTCCTCACAGATTTGAACTTCACACTAATTCTGTCACACCCCAGCACTTTATTGCCATTTGCAATTAGCAACACTCATTCTTTATCATTATCTCAGATATTTATTGATTTATTGTTGTTTATTCCTGCTTATGTGCTCTGCTGCTTCCACCATTGGCCATTGTTTACTTTTACATTGTGTGTCAATGTTGTTGTTGTTGTTGTTGTTGTTGTTGTTAACGTAAATTATGTCCAAAATCAGAGCAGATTGTCACACACACAAAAAAAAAACATTCACTCATATTAAACAAACTGGAAGCTACAACTGAAAAGCTTCACTCTGAAAACCGTATGACCCATTTTATTTTATCTGTTATTTTTTAAATTACTTGCTCAAACATTGTTGGCTGCAAATCTGCTATTTTATAATGTAGCTTCCGTTATGGGGTGGGGGGGTGGTGGTTAATCTAGCAGAAAATCAAAAGCAGCCCCAACACCAGCCATTCATTTTAATGCCAAGAAAACCACAGCATGTTTATCATACATTACGATCCCTGCCTGAAAACACAAAGCCCCTCTCAGCAAGAATGGAAAATCATTACAAAACGTGTCTAACCCCCCCCCCTCCCACCATGCAAAAAAAAAAAAAAAAACCTAAAGCAAAATATACTATCAGGGGGAGGAGGAGAAACTCCAATCCACAGTCATTGTGAACACTGATACAGTGACTTCAACAGGGCTGACCTGCCCAGAGACTTGAAGAGATTAAAAAGGCAATACAAGGGAAATGTAAACCCACCAATCGCTGTCCAGACAGTTTGGCGCCTGTGCAAGAGACCCATTTCTTTGGGAAATCCAGTGGGCCAGATGCCAGAATCGATATGTTTAACATATTAAACCAGAGCACTGGACTGACGCAGGACTGGGAATGCTCTGGCAGTTACTTGATTCATCTCAAGACGAAAACAAACCCCCCCCCCCCCCATGTCCACCTCTCCTTGAACCATCTTAGAAACAGCTTTTTACTCAGCTGAAAGCTTTTAATTATCACGGTCTTAGTGATTTGCACAAACAGTTTTAGGTTCTAAATTGCGATCCGTAATGCACCTTTCCAGGCAGAACGGCTATGATTAAGTAAATTATCCCAAAACAGATTAATCGTTTTCTCTTATTTCCTAGCTTAGCAGAGCTATTTCCAGATGGCTTTTTGTGTTTTCACTTGTACAAATAAGCAAAGTGTTCCAAAAGTGAACCATCTGCCCAGAAACGATTACGGCTCCCGTCCCTGGGCTTAGGTAAGATGTGATATATTAAAAAAACTTCCTGATCTTTCCAGAATTTCCTCAAAATAACTGGGGTGTAACATGGCAGAAACCCCATAATATAATGTAATGTAATAAAAGAGAGAACTGTAATTACAGACAATCTTTTCTTGCTCACGACGGAGAAGACTAAGCGTGGCTTAAGCGTAAGCTGAGGTATTTGGTATATATATAAAAAGAATGCAGAGCAGCACTGGAATTGGCAGCTGAATTGATGGATGGAACAACAAGCTGGTTCTGTTCTCAGTGTGAAAACCAGTATAATAAAAAAAAAAAACATCTTATTGTCTGTCACCGTGGCAATGCCTGTGATGGATGGGATTGTTTGAGCAGAGAGACCAGCGGGAAACGTGGGCCCCTCCATCATTTCCCGCTCCTGCCACAGGTGACACCCTCGGGTTTGCCTTATATTCCTCCGTTTCCTTCATATTTATCGTCCTGGCAACCGCCTCACCCACAGCTACTACAGCGTGCACAGGGCAGCCAGAGCTGCACGCTCACATCCAGGTCATGGGACTCACACTTGTTGAAGAAGCTGCTGCTTCGGATCTGCAGCAGGGAGAGCGCCGTGGATGTCGCCGCAGGAGCCCAGGCGGTGGAGGCAAGCCGGGCCATGTGAGTCAGGTGCCGCACGCCCCCCAGCACCTGTACCGGGGGGGGGCCTGAAAAAAAATGACAAGGGAAAGGCATTTAACACAAGTGTGTTAAAACAGAAACTCAGCCCAAAGCTCACAACTGTAACATTTATTTAACATAATACATCCGTATGTAATTATATGACAGAAACGAGTCATACAGCTTAGTCAGTAGAGCATGAGACTCTTAATCCCTGGGTTGTGGGTTTGAGCCCCATGTTGGGCGATGTTGTTAGGGGGCAGCGATTGGCTCAGCTACCACACACCCCAATGTTACATAAGTCTTAGATGAGGCACTGGATACATTCAAAAAACTAAAAGCCAAAGGTTGTGGAAGCTGCAGGATTTTTGTTACAGACTGGACATAAAACAGGCATATGATGTATAGTCTGGCGTGATTAAAATCACTACAGGTCATCACAAGATATTACTGTCATGGTGTAACTAAGCAATCAGCAATACTAGACTGAAAATATGGTTGTCCATTTAGACCAAAAAGCACAAGCAGCTTTGTACTGGTTCATTTTCAGTACTGAATTTCTTTTAACATCGTGTATCGAGATTTCTCTAAACGTCCTGGATCTTGTGAATTAGCATCTTCTCTCACTATAGACACTGAATATATTAATTGGTCTCTGAATATTTATGCAAGGCAGCTTACATAAGAGCCTACAATACAATCAGCATTCAACTATTACATATAATTCACAAAGTGACACCTAACATCTGGCATTTGTACGTCACTGTATGTTGTCATTTTGTACATTTAAAATATCGTCCGTTACCTAAAGTCATTAATTTATACATTTATCTATCTTGCTGAACTGACCTTTATCTGCATATTAGGCTAAATTTCTTCTTAGCTACAGCATCAGCTATTAAATGGACAAAAGCAGAGTAACTGAAAAGCAATAGTAAAGTACCCATCGAGAAAAAAACAGACAATCAAATAAATGGAATTCCATAAATGGGTTTTAACGAATTTATATTTCAACCAACCACAACACGATGGGAGGAAACATCAATGACTAAGAGTTACAGCTGCTTGCGTGTTCAACGGGACTGTGTTGCTGATCCATTCCGAATCACACTTAAAGCCATTCACAAGTTACAAAGACCGGTATGCCCAGATACGCCGATACAACACTAATTCATTTTCACACACAGCCACACTCAATAAGAACTGAATCGATATAAATTATATGCAGTTTCAATAACATTTGATGTGATCAATGCTGATTTAAACCCAAGTTATACTGCTACTACGCTGCAATTTTTATTTGTGAAACACAGCCATTATTTGGAGCCAGTACGCATCACGCAGATGCACAAACCAGCTATAGCGTATTGCTGAAGTACTGACAAATTTCCAAAGCAGTGATCCATGCTTCAGATTCTTGCCAATGACCTCTCTCCTAAGTTAAAACGATATCCACATTTACAGGCTATATATCAAACTGACAAAATACACAAATCGAAAACACACTATCCGCCAATCCTGTCAAGGTTACACCACAAAAAATGTTCAAAAGGAGCATCTTATTCACCTCTTACAGTTACCCGGAGGACACACGACAGCCACCGGACCGCCGCCATCTTTGAAATTACAGCAAGCCCCAAAGAAACTAAATAGAGGCGCAATCTTCATTGCCTGATGAAAATTCAACCGTATTACAAATGTGTCGAAATATATTTTATCGTACGGAAGATTTCGTGCATGTATACATGCATTTTATCTAATACATGTTCATTTTACTTACTTAAGCATGCTTCAAAGTATTTATGTTTAAATGTAAAATGGCTAAATTGCCGGTTTCCCGGGTCCTTTTCCTAAAAAGACCGTTATTAAGCGGCACGTGAGATTCTCTCTGGCACGCAGAAGAATGTGTCATTTTAACGCAGTGAAACACGTACATATGTGCTGGGTGGTTAGGGTCGCCAGCTCTCACGCATCTGGCGTGACACTCAGGCTTTCAGACTCTCACGTTCAGGCAAGAAATCTTACGGCAAACCGATATTATATCATCATAAACCTAAGATACATCAGAAGTGTTGGGGTAGTTTGTAAACCCCACAGATTATTTGCAAGGTAATGAAACTGTTACATACATGTAAATACGTGTCCAGACATGTCTCGAATTGGAAATCTCACTGCAGCCATCTGACCAAAGTTCGTAATTCTGCGTAGTTCAGGCGCAATATTCATAATTAATTACAAGGTAAATTACTACATGGATTACAATGAAATAAATGTAATACATAGGGGAGATATAGGTATATTCTCGTTAAAAATATAAAATAACACGGTTATTCAAGTTATTCGATAAATTATATTTAATCCAGACACTTTTCGTAGCTGCTTTACCAATACAGGATTACAATTGAAGCTTGAACATGAAGCCTATCCCAGACACACGGCACAGAGTACGATACATAATAGATTTATTTCATGTCCAGATTTGTCAGATTCAGGGGCTCAGTCCTTTATAATGATCCCTGAAAATACATACACACTTAATAATAAATTCAGCTGTGGGGAACCCCAAGAAGCTAGGATTTCTAGCTACACCTCTCAGGGCAGATATAGACTTATCCATTGAGCCACAAGTATTCAAAAAGATAGGTAACAGAGTTCCAACTCTAGACAGACAGACAGATAGATAGATAGATAGTCCTGATCACATTTGACATAACACCCCTTGTCTGGTCATTATATCCTGGGAATGGGATGCCAGTCCATCAGACTGCACACATTGATATAGCAAGGGCTGCCAATTTACCTAAGAGCTATTTAGTAGGCGAAATACACTATGTGAAGTGCGCAGTATGTCCAGATCCTCAGTATTAATGAGACAGTAGTATTACATTTTGCAAAATTCTGAAGTGCGGAACCGATGGACTCTATGCTATCCCACAGGGCCACAAGATGCAACCAGAGATGAAGAACATCGCTTGCTCAGAAATTTTTATCAAGATGGCAGAGGAAGTGCCGTCTCTGCATAATTTTAAGCAGAAAACAATATCCAGTTACACAAGTAGACTCAAGTATGTATTTTTTTTACATAATATAACTTTTAGCGTCAGTCAAGCTACGTCATTGGTAAACATCTGGATCAGGTAGTACGCAGGAGGGTGACTGCAGTATGTCTGAGTGCAGGAATACTGTTCTTATGCATACTTACTGTACATACTGCATTAATGGTCGAGTAGTAGGCTTCTAACGAAATTCAGTACATAATGCAGTAGTATGCGATTTCATGACAAAAGTGTTTGGCCTGTAGGTGGAAACCAGTGGAGGAACTGAACCCACAGCCCTGATCATGTTAGTCTTAAAAAATGATTCAATTGCTGCCATTGAAATTAACATACCACAAACTTTACGTACTGAAGAAAAGAGAACTCACTTGGCACCATTCATTATATTTAAATTCTTGTTGTCTTAGACATAAAATATTCTGGTTCTCTGGTCTGTTCCTACTGTGCTTACTTGTATCATATCATGCTATTCCTACCTCTACACTTTTGTAGAGTTCACTGGAAAATGAGTCCCTGTTATGAGTGGCCACACCCGCAGTCAAAAGATGAAAAGACTAAAATCATCAAAACAAAAATCAGGCTTGGCAGTATGTAAACTAAAAACCAGTCCTATTGTGGGTCTTTGAAGCAATGTGATATCTTGCCAGGGGGTACCGCTGTGCAGCCCCCAGGCAACTTCCCGACGCTCTATATGATGACAGAGGCTGTTGGCAAATACAACAGCAAGCATGTTAATGAATCCTGTTTCAGTAAGAGAGGCTCAGTAACAAAATATTTTTATTAATCACAGGCGTCGAATAATGTAATTACATTCAAGGAGGGGAGGTTCACGTGAGTCACATATGCTGACACCGTGATTACAAGTTCTCCATAGGGGTCTGATTGCCTATCAGTATAACTCATAGACATGCACCTAAAAGGTGTTTATGCATTTGGCTTTGTTTGTATTAAATCTACATGCCCCAAAGTGCTTCGGGGCCCGTGTAGGGGCCCATGTGGGGCCCGTGTAATGATGCAGGTCCTGTGCCTCAGATCAATCCCTCCGTTGCTCTCTGTTGCTCCGATATAAATATCTGAAAATGGGATTTTAAGTGCTGTTGCTGGTTAATGGTGTAATGCCCAGTCACCGTACCTAATTAAATTCTGTTCTTCCCCACAGTTTTGCAAAAAAACAACTCCACTCCAGTACTAGTATAACATTCCTTTGTTTCAATATAAACTTAAGAACTATCAAAAACGGCTAAAACATCAAACGAGATGGTTAAACAACTCATGAGAAATAGTTTGTAAATGAATATCCATTCATGCATATTGCTGACTAATGAACTTTTGGAAAGCAATGTTGAATTCAGGACAGTGAAATACTTATTATTTACAGTTTCCTGAACGTGTGTGTATACACACACACACACACACACACATATGCATATCAATTGTAATATTTAAATGATGACTCATAAAAGCTGTCTTGTCTAGTTTGATCACTGTGGTTTGGTTGTGTTACAGGGGTACAGGGATAATTTGACATGCAAGCAGTGTCATTTTGGATCAAGGGGCAGGGGGTGATTGTTTTTAACTACTGGAATGTACCCCAAACTTTGCTATATTATTCCTAAACTGGTAATCCAACAAGATTTACTGATCTGACAAAAAGAAAAATGTATGAGATATGTGCCTGTCCTGCCTGGTTTAGGCATCCTGAGGAGTTTTGACCAACCCCAGCCACAAGAGGGCAGCTTTCCCAGGGCATATACTGCCTTAGCTAATCTGCAGCAATATGCACCAGTTGTGGTGGACACACACTGATACCTCTGTCAGCCACTCTCCCAAAACTTAATTCTCTCTGTGAACACTCCACACTCTGCTGCAGGATTCATCATTTTCTTATGGCTGCTGAAGTACAGTGCTGCTGTTTTTAGGCTTAAAGCTTTTTCTTTTTAAAACTTAAAAGCATTTTAAATATTTCTATGAGCCAATAGAAGGAGGAACAATATTCGGCTGGTTTTGGATGATCGGGGCTCATCACCAGCTTAGTGCTTTACAGACGCTTTGCTTAAAGCCCTCTGCTGGCCCTGATTGGACTAATTAACTAATTGGTTGTGGGCTCATAGAGGTGAGATATGTGAACTGAGTGTCAAGGTGTATACCTGTATGTAATTGAATATTTATTTGCTGTGTAGTAGGCGAAATGTAGTATGTGAAATGTAGTATGCGAAATGTAGTATGCGAAATGAGCAATATGTCAGAATCTTCAGTACGGATTGTACAGTAGGTGAACAGTACCCTATAACTATATATGGAAATTGCATTTCTTGATATTCCTTTATATTCTGTTTGTTTTAAAGTTTGACCAACAAAGTCCTGTTTTGCTGCACCCTGTGGTTCCACATGTACAGTGACTTTCCTGCATCTCACTACCTGCCTTGTTTGATAACACACTTACTTTGCTGGGCTTTTACTATCTGAGACACTGGTGTCTGTGCACCTTATTTTTTCAGCCAGTGTCTGAGTAACAGGGAGTGTGACCCTTGATTTAGTGTGTTGGTAGGGAAGACTAAGGTGCCTCACGCAGAGATTTGGGCCATTACAATACGTACGGTAATGAGTTTAGATCTCTTCAGGACTGTCATTTTTGTTTAAAATCTAAGTTTAATTATTTACTAAATATTTATTTTCCATTCTGGGTGCTTATTGCTGAGACCGTGATGCATTTTTTAACACAACCAATGAAGCATAAGGGTTGTCGTCTAAGGGGTAAAAAAAAAGAAAAAAAAACTCATCGGTGTTTGCGGGACCTTTAAATTCACATTTCTGCTGACTGTAAACTAAGTCCTTTGCCTGCTGTTGCTGTAACTAAAAAGTGCTTTCAAGTAGTTGTTTAGAGGACATTTAAAGGAAACAGATTTAGAGGAAACAGACAAAAATGTGCGTATGCTTCCAGCTGTAGCTTTTAGATTAAAACGATACACAAGATATACAGTGTGCTCACTACACTTTTTCTTCTTTCTATTCATCCTTCTTCCATAGCTGCTTATCCAGTGTAGGTGTGGGGGCAGCTTGGAGCCTGTCCCAGGAAGCACAGGGCAGGGGACACCTTGAACAGCATAAACTCATGCTTTCCATATTACAAATGTGTTATGAATATTTAATAGGGTATAAATATGCATTGTGTTTCAGCAGTTGCAACTGAAATTAGAAATACGCGTGCAATTTTATACATGACTGGAGTAATTTGAGCTGTGCGGTGTGTGATGAGTGTCGAGTTTGAAACGTACAAATTCTTTTAGGATAATAAAATTATGACAACAGTTCATCACAGGACAGTATCAACCTGACAACAGTATTAGGAAAAGATGATCGATATCAGTATGCTGTCTTTACACCTGGCATTTCCCAAAGCGTGTGTATGTGATTCCATACTGATTCTTACAGACTCCAAATCCAAATCGCATTGTGACCTTTAGCTGAATGTATGAGCTTGTGTCTAGTATCACCAATCAGGGCTTCACGTCCATCAGAGGAACGATGTCATCATGCTGCCCCCTACACCAGAAATGTATGATAACAAGTCGTAAGAATCTTATTGCATAAGAAGCCGTTTCAATAAACCTCTGAGGGTTTTACTTCTTGTTTTCTGTTTAGGTCTGGAAACAGAATCCTCCTTGCAATGTTGATTACTGTGTGCCCATGTTTTCGGAGCATTGCTAAGTAATGCTGTGCTGAACCTGACCTGTGAATCTGCTGGTCATTTTATGAAGAACAGAACATCACCTTGGCTGGTGGCTGCATTAGTGCTGAAGGCTAGACTGTTACACAGAAGCTTAAATCGACCCTCTAAAGTGTGTAAATCGGGCATCAGTACAGTGCTGAATCTCTTTTTAGTTCTTGAAACCGTGTCACATTGTCTCCTACCTGCAGGCTGGATAATACAGTGACACTCCTTAGTTTTACCTTTTACTGTCACTATCTGGCACAGAATGTTTTCCTGCTTCATCTATAGTAAAACCAAACAAAAACTGATCTGGAAGATAAATTGGGTGCTTATTAAGATGGTGGTGGGTGGAGAGACCAGACACTGAAGCGTGATCCTGGGAGCCCCCATTGAGGGCGTGCCCCGCGCTCTGGGGTTGGACACCGTGACCCGTGTTGGATAAGAGGCGAGTAAAATTGGATGGATGCATGAAGTGGGCTGGGCTCTTAAATAAACGAGGTGTGGTTTGCGATCAGTTAAGTGAGTATGGATTTGTTGGATGTCTGGACCTTGATACTAGAAGATGGTGTGAAATCTGTGAAACTTGTGACACACAGCAAATGAAATGGCAGCAGCAATAAAGTGCGCAGATATGCTGTTGGGGGGGTGGGGGGAGGTCAATACAGGACAGGCGAGAGACTGCCACAGTGATTAATGGTGTCAGTAAGCTAGAACACCTCTATGCGGGAAACTGATTTAGTGGCACCTCATTGAATGCGATTGGTGGTGTGTGTGTGTGTGTGTGTGTGTGTGTGTGTGGCAGTCCTAATGACAGGCTTCTCTGATCTGCCGATGCTGCACATTTTTTACGCCGTCTGACTATTGACCACTCGCTTGCAGGAGACCCGCTGGATGATCTTCACGGCTCAGATTCCTAGAAAATGCAATCCAAAGGTGGTCCGCATGACCTCATCGTCTCGTGGATAGCGTACAGATAAGCTAACGAGGTTCTTGGCATGGCCGTGGGGTAATTGCTTATGGCCTTTCTGTCCCGGGATTCACCATTTCTGAAAAGTTGTACTTAAGTCTACGTGAAAGCGGCACACTAAGCAGATTTTTATCAATGCGTCACCAAGGCTGCATAATTTATTATTACAAGGTTTTTTCCATTAAATTTCACAGGATTCATCTAGATAATATGTTTCTGCGACCTTTTGAATATGCCTTGTATATCATCGTACCCCCACACACACCATTGCATGTGTGATGACTGAATATGGAGCAGCTCACTGAGTTGCAGAGTACATCGCAATAAATT